CACCAGGATCCACCTCCATGGTTCACTTTACATATATCTGATGCACCCTTCTAGTTTAGTCAGCCCGCCAATTGGACGCTTAATCCGATAGTTAGTTGAACTAGAATCACTCAAAGTTTAACAACTTGGCGTATTGAAAATAAAGCCGTTGAGAATGTCACTCATCGCAAAGACAGTAAGTGCAACAGAAAAGTGTTCCGCGCCAACCAGACTCACCAGACTGACCTGAACCCAATCCCCTACTCCGAGGAGCCCTGAAACCTTTCTACTAACATTACCCATAAAACCAAAAGGTAATATTATTTTACTGTTCTGTACCCTTATCATGAACCAATATTAAAATTGAATAGTTTAGTTCGATCTCTCAACCTCAAATGTCAAGAAATTTTGTGTGGAAATATAAACAGCGCCACAACGGACGTAATGAGAATTAAAAATCTTCCAAACAAAACTTCTTGACATTTGAGGTTGAGAGATCGAATTCAACTATTCGAATTCGATATTGGTTCGTGCTAAGGGTACTTACTGTACTCTTAATCTGTACTACAATTAAAGATGAACAGAGACAAAAATACATTTAAAAAAATAAAACAATTCAAAACTCTCTCAAATTGACTGAACAGATTCTTAAATAACGGTTATACCAAACTTCGTGCGTGCATGTCCTCTGCGTAATTTGTTTTATGTCTAATGCTGCGTTCCACGTAAGCTCAGAATAGTTCTGAACGAGCAAACAGTTGCTCGCTCGGTAAATGTAAACATCACAGCGAGCGAACGAGTTCGTACAACGGTGTTTAACTGGACTCAGGGAACGAATTCTCTCTTGCTCAGTCATCAATGGAAACAACGCAACATTGTTTTATGCATTCCATTCACCGAGCGAACAAATGTTTGCTCGCTCGGTACTGTTCTGAGCATTAGGTGGAAACGCAACATTACAGGAATGTAAAAATATCGAAAAAAAAGTATCTAATACTGCACGTTAATTCTGTATCGTGAAAACTCTCTAGTAAATTCTGATAATTCGTAATTTGGTATTTTTTGTTTTGTTTTTATTATTGTCCGCTTCAACAGTCATTGGGCGCACATGTACAGTTTCCTGATTCGGTTTCCTGATCAAAAATTTTATTCAGATTTAGAATTCCGTGAGCCTAGCATAGACGATTCGGCCTTTTTATTAGTAAACTAGCGGTCCGCCCTCGCTTCGTTTCGGTGTAGAGCTGAAGTATAGACTACAGTTTTTGTTGTCAGGCTTGTATTATACACAATGACATTCATCTATGATTCTTCTTATACCTGCATGCAAAGTCTCAGCCCGATCGGTTTAAAATTGACGAAGTTTCATACAAACTTTCATTCCCTATTTTATCCCCTTGGGGGTAGAATTGATCAAAATCCTTTCTTAGCGGATGCCTACGTCATAACATCTACCTGCATGCCAAATTTCAGCCCGATCCGTCCAGTAGTTTGGGCTGTGTGTTGATAAATCACTATGTCAGTCAGTCACCTTTGACTTTTTTAAACATATATAGATAATAACGGTCATTTTTATTACCTGTATTTATAACCAAACTAAAATTCTCATATTTTCGTTTTCCAGTACTCATTTTCTACACGTTTTACATGATTTATTTGCTAATTTTGTTTACAAATGTTTGGCTTTTATTCTAAGATAAGCACGGTTTCTCAATATCAATTATTGTCTGTCAATAAGGTCGAACGCTCTGAACGCATCAACAGCCAAATATTGAATGAAGCTCGCTTTCTTTTTTTTTTTGTTTCCTCCCAGCCGGGGGAGCGGTTGTGAAATCCTCATGGATACCCTACAGCCGGCTGTAGAGTTATGTCAGACTCTTACTGACTAAAACACACCCGTGGGGGGTGCCTATGGCCTTAGGGGCCTTACAGGCTTCATCTGATGCGATCAACCCCTGAGAAGGGGATGATGCAGCGCTGCCTTAGTAAATACTACTGCCTAGTGCGCTTAGAGAACGGATGCACCCTGATGTGCATCCGTATCGGTTTGGGACTGAGCGACTGAAGGTCTCTCAGGATCGGGGGGGCGGGGAAGCTCGCTTTCGGACCTCCCGCCTTTTTATACCCTACCGCGCCGCCACGACCCGTGTCGAACGCGGCAGCCGTTACACAAAAATAATCCTTAAAGCATGATTCAGTATTCACGTGCGACGGCGCGATGGCTTATTTCATGTATTAGTTTGGTGTTTCTATACCGATTTCTATGATTCTTTTTTTATTGAATAGGTAATAATGTTAACTTTTTTAAATTAGGGATGAGTGAGAGTATTATAAACGTAAGAGTAAACAAATATAATCAGAATGCTCCGAACTGCTAAGCTATCAGGAGTTACACGTGTTATTGTGAGTCAACCATAAAAGATAGACATATGCTGTTGCGGGATATTTTTTAGACAATTTTATGTAGAATATTTCCTTCATACATGATTTCTATGTAACTTTAACCATTAAGGCTCCACACGCGACGGAAGCTTAAAAAATGGAGTAACTTCTCCCGTTTTCCCAACATTTCCCTTCACTACTCTGCTCCTATTGATTGTAGCGTGATGAAAAGTATACTATAACCTGCCCAGGAGTATGAAGAATAATTGTACCAAGTTTCGTTAAAATCCGTCGAGTAGTTTTTGTTTCTATAAGGAACATACACACAGACAGACAGACAGACAGACAAAAATTTTAGTGATTGCATTTTTACCATCAGTATCGATCACTTATCACCCCCTGATAGTTATTTTGAAAATATATTTCATGTACAGAATTGACCTCTCTACAGATTTATTATAAGTATAGAAGATAATAAATAAAGCATTTTAGCGCTACTAGCCCGCCTAAAACCAGCCCCCCTAGCATAAGCACCGCGATATAATAGCACGTTTTTATCACGCTCAATTGTTAGAGTACTATGGCGTGACTATGGAGTTTGACAGTAAGACATGATAAAATGTATTATGTAGTGGTCATGCTACAGGGACTGAACCAAATGAATATTTTCCTAGCACCTAAAATTTTCATTAGATTAAATTACAGTACATTCAAATACCATATACAGTTAATTTTTCTTTAGATATAAACTTCTAGTAGTTGTATGTTAAAAAAATATATAATTTACAATTATATGTAATAAAAATGTAAAATTTCATAAAAATGTAAAATTAAATTGTAACATTCAAAATGCAATAAGTAGGTATGAAATTATGGAAATGCATTTATTTGCTGTAAATAAATTTATTTATATTTTTACTAGTAGTTATGGAATTGCTCCTTGCATGGTTTAATTGAATTTTGACAAAATTTTACTAAATTGACCCATTTTACAAAACATAACAACAATAGGCGGCTATCATTCGTATTAAAACAAAGTTATCGTATTGATTTTGAATTTGAGACGCAGTTTGACTTTGATTTAGGTATTTTCGTTGAGATACATAAATTGGTATTAATTGGCTTTTCTAAATTATATCCGAATATAAAATATTAACTTTAAAATCCGATATATAAAAGAAAGACTTCATTGCTGCTCAAATATATTGTGGTAACTACAGGCAACTAAGGAACCCTACACTGCGCGTGGCACGACTCGCACTTGACCGGTTTTTTTTAACTGTAGAGATAGATTTATATCTGGCGATATATATTAAGAGATAGATTTATATCTATCTCCACATACATTTATTCGATAATATATTACCACTATACTGATCAAAAGAGTCTAAGCAACATGAACTTTTGACAGATTTTTATACTTATATTTTTGGTTAAGGATTACCAATTCATTTAATAGTGACTAAAGCAAAAAACTTTTGAATAAATTAAACATTTAACTGAGAAAACTTGCAGTTTGCATATAATATGATGCATGTTGCTTAGATTTGTTAGAGGTTGTTGTCGCTTACGATTTTAAGAGAGATACATTTTTACTATTTGCTCAGAAAATTTTATAGTTGGCACATTCTATATCTTCTTGGTGCTTCCAGTTAAATATAGGCTTAGACATCGTTTGTATGGTACGTTTGCAACGGTATTATATATGGTTGTCTTAGATTTTTATTTGTAATACTTACTTTATACTTACCTAAATATGACATAGGTCATCTCAGTCCTCATAAGTTGCCACCATCAAAGAACACTGATCGACGAAACTGATATATGAATTAAACTATTTTCCCATTTACATTGTTTAATCATAACTTTAAAGTTATAAGTAATAATTTTGTGAAAAAAGACCAAAGTTGAATATGCCCTGATTATAACTGTAACAGGAGGATGCATATTCACTCGTAACTATATTTTTAAGGGTAACTTCAATTAAAAAATTACTTGAATTTAAATTTTAAAAATATTATAAAGATATTTATTTGTAGACTACCTACCTATCTTTTGGTATTTTTTCACCACTATAAGGTCTCAAATAGCAATATTTCTATAAACATTGTAAAATAATAATTAATAAAAATAAATAATTTCTGAATTCGTAAATTTACCATGAATATTAACATTTGTTATCTAGTAATTTTACGCATTTTTATAAAGAAAATGCGTAAAGTTAACAGACATTTAATTTTATGTTTATGATGTTGCCTCAGAAATATCGTTTGATCATAAAATATGATTTGAAAAAAATACTCACAAAGTTAACAATAAATTAATAACTCCATGATTATTGTTGTACTTTATGAGATATTCTCTTTTTTTAAAACATAAAATATGTAACATGATATTTTTGTGACATGTGACAACATAATAAACATAATGTTAGAGTCCTTGTCCTGTTCCTGCGAAACTGCTACCTATGAAAAAATATGAAAATGCTTATAATTACACTCATTCGTTCGACAATCTCAGCATTTTGGTTATTGGGCTTTAATACAACCAAATACTCTGAATCTTTATCAACTAAAACAAGAAAGCTAAACGAACACATTAGAGAAATAAGTGTAATTGAGCCCTTAAAACATCAGACTTTAGTATCGAATTCGCAATCTGCAATGAGGGGATAAAAAATGAAACAACAATATTTTTCACATTAAATTTATATTATTAACTCACAGATCTGAAACCAGCACTACTGCTACCGCATTATATGTCGTAATCACCAACCGGTGACGTAATAATTACATGATAAAAATGTATGAACACCAACCCTTTGGCTCCAAGGCTGGGACAAATATTTGACACAGGGTTGGCACTTGTATTTGTCAATGTTTCTCTATTCCTTTACATCCGAAACAATGAATAGAAACCTTGACAAACACATTATTAAAGTCGCTTGGCATAAAAAATATACAAAAGGAAATTCGCAGTTTTCTTTTTAAACAAAGATTTGTTCATATACCACATCACTTATATAAATATATAAGTATTCTAAAAACTACTCAATAGTGTTAATATATGAGATCCAGAGCAAGTTGAATGTTTGTAAAGATTTTCAACGATTTAGCATTCGGTGGATATTATGAACAAATCTCAACGCAGAGCAGGTAAAAATGTACTTTCGCCGCGCTGTAGCGGTGAGACAGATCTGTAGCCTTAAACTAGAATAATCTATGACCGAAACTTATCTAATTTTGATAAGACAGTGCTCTCGTGGACACATTTACAGAGCGCTGTAAATTTCAACACTTACACACTTGAATAACTTAAAGCGCTTTAAAAATATGTACCCATCAGAACACTGTCCATCGTTAGTGGTTTAAATTTTGCGCTACGCTTATAGTAAACAAATTTCATTATGAAACGAATGAAAGAAACGCATGCACTTTCATCTGCTACAATGCATCAACACGATTGGACGAGGGAACAATATTAATAAAAAAAAACAACTTCTCATCGTATTTAACTCTTCCAATTTTACTCAACTCAATGTAACAGAAAGTATCTGGTAACTGATTATTAAATTATTACATTATACACAAATAAAAATCATCACAAAATTACTTACATTTACTTACAGACTATTGTTATAAACTTGAAATCACTACGTTAAACTTATTTCAAAATAAGTCTATCGATGAATACTATAATAGAATATGATAAATAACAAACTCATCGTTATTTTATATTTACATAAGTTTTATACCTAATTGATACTACTATCGTGTGCTTTAAACAGAGGAGAGACAGAATGCCCGTTTAATATATTTATTGTATAAATGTATAATAATAGCGGAAGCGACACCGCGGGCTGCGCTTGGGCAAGTAAGTACTACAGTAAATAATACGAATCACTCTGGTGGAAGGCAAGATGAGGTATTTAGTTAGAGGGTGTAGCTACATAGAACTATGAGCCCGCCGCGCCGCCCCGCACCTCACAACACTATCATAATAACCCTATATTCTTTACTTGAGGTAGTTAAGTTTCAAATATTTTGTGACACTGGTACATTATTGATATGAAGAACATCTGTGTTACACAAAAAAATATTCTCAACAATATAACAACATCTGTATTCTGTAAATAAACTCCGCACAAATTTGTACGGATATGAAAAATGTATGCGGTTGCACCGAGTGCTGTATAATTTGTACACGAATATAAACTATGGCATCGCGACTCGATATATAGATAGGTACTATATAATGTGTATATAATAATGTTTAATGTATAATATTATAATAAAAAAACATGAATAGTTTCATCGTATCTAAGAGGTAGGCCATTTCGGTCCATACATAATCTTTATATAGTATGTCTGTATAATTATTATATTGCTTCAATTACCGATTAATTATTGTAGGTATACTTAATATGATTACGTGCGTAGTCACTGATGAGGTAGATCAACATTGAGTTTATTCTATTTGTATAAAAATATTTCTGCAATATAATCAACATTCAAATACAAACATTATCAAAATTAAATCGATATAATGTTCATATTGCACATTTCAAATGTAAACCAATAAAATCGGTGCCAACTTGCAATCGACCTATTATGATATGGATGTGTAAGCGGAACAAAATATTCTTATCGCCATATAGTATATATATCATATATATACGAATGAAGATATATACACATAATATAAGTCGGGAGTCCCGACTGAATTAAGTACGAATAATAAATAATAACGAGAGGAATATTTTGCAACGCCTGCGCAACTCGGCCTTGATATGTCCCATCAAACTGCAAATTCGTCGAACCTCACAATAATATTATGTACAAAGAATTTACGTTCCTCATATAATTTGTTTATTAATACATAAATCAATAGTCGTGACAATCTATTTAATACTATACAAAAAACATTTACATTATTATTTTAAATTATTGCTAGAGAATTTCATTATCATTAGGCTAATAAATCATTAAAAATTAAATCGTTTCGCAACAGACAGTTGGCGGAATTAATTTGGCAACGTTCAGGAAGACTACTTTCCTACCACTAACGAAACAGAAATGTATAAACTAAATTCGTTCAAATAACATTGGTAACTTAAAATGGATAAATTAGCATTAAATTTCCACGAAAACATTCTGAATCGTCAAACAAAGAAAGTCAACTAGCTTACATCAAAACAAATGTCAACAGACAAAATAATAATAGGAAGCACCGGGAAATTATCAATACGAGATATAATCAATAGGAGAACTTTTATATCTAGAACAAAACTGCTAAGTGACTACCTAGCATCCTCCGAAGGACGTGCGGCGCGGCGGCACCGGCGCTGCTTGTGCGCCCGCGCGCCGCCCTGCCGACCGCGTCCACCCGAACACGACTACCTACTACTAGGTCGTTACACTTATAAATCGATCAAACCTGATCATATTGTACTCTTGGCGATACTATCATTAAATTTGGCATCAACACATTATTATTCTCAAATAAAAAAATATTTTACTGATACCGAAACTTTACCGGTAAAACGCTCTCAAATCATTATAACATCATTCACTACACCGCAGTTTCTACTTAAAGTAAATGGCTGGCACTCGAGTCCCTCTCAATATTTACAGAAATTAATCTACTTATGTAGCTTCTGAAATACAAAATATTGTATTTAACTTTAACAATTTCAATGAGAAAATTTTCAATATTACTCTAAAAAATCTATGGTCCATAGATTATGTAAAAATAAGATATGTTGAACAACATGACGATAATAATAATGCTAGACCTGAAATAAAATATAATCGGTCTTCATCTAATACTTTAGTTCTTTCATATGTAAAATTGATATGATTTGATCTAAAAGATATCGCAGTATATAATTCCAACGTCATGTAATTACACGTTTAGCGGCCAGACGCCCAGGCATGTTAAGTCACCTTGTGCGCGCGCAAGGTTAGCTTGAATGAACAACAAAAACTAGCTAGTGAACTGGAAACACGTCGGCGCACGTTATGTAAAAGCATCCAAAATCCTAACTTCAATGCAGCAATTTATTTGTACTGTGTCAAATGCATTAATATTTAAATTTGATTGTGCGCCGCATTTTTTGTTATATTTATTATATTTTTTCGATCGCCGCAAACGGGCTGAACATCTCATCGTGTCGATCATTGTCCAAGCCGGAGTATTTCAAAAATAATACCGATTTTAATATTATTCGAAGACGAAATTACAAAAATTAAATTTTATTGCAATTTGTTTTATAGTCGAAAATGATATGTGTGTACTCGTCGCGTAGTCGCCGCTCAATTTTTAATTAAGAACAACTTGCAGCGCTCCCGGCGGCGAGGTCGTTGTAGTGGACGTCACCGACGACGAAGAACGTAAATTTTTCTTAATATGAGTATCAAAATGCTTTACCATATGATCTTTTCTAATAAACCCTTTTCCGCAGTGATCGCACGCAAACGGCTTGCAGCCCGAGTGCAAACACATGTGCCTGCGCAAATCGGGTTTGTGATTAAATGACTTGGGACATTCGTTACATTTGAAAGGTTTATTATCAGTATGCTTCAAATAGTGTCCCTCGTAAGAGACATCATCAGAGAAACGTTTGCCGCACCGGTCGCATTTGAATGGCTTAGCACCCGAGTGGAAAGTCTTGTTGTGCTGAGTGAGGTAGCACGCTTTATTGAAAACTTTGTCGCACTCGTAGCACTTATGCACGGTCGAGGGGGCGGCCTTAGGCTTGACCTGGTTGCGCTCCGCGAGCGGCGTGCTCACTGTCGAGGTGACGGCCGGTGAACCGCGATTCTCATTTTCCACCTTTGCACTTTCTGGACTAGCTGGGGACTTCATCTGGCTACCGTAGTTCTCTTTATTAGCATAATCCATAATATCTTCGATTTTGAATATAACCTGACCTGAATAACCCTGCCCTGTAATATACTCATATTCATCTTCCTGTTTGATTGTTTTCCCGCCTATTGCGTAATTATTAGGATAAACTTTAACATGCTCCGGACTGTAACTAACAACGTTGTCTTTAACTGTACTTCGAGGTGAAAAACTATACTCATAGTCTACATTCTGCCCTCCTATTTCGAGATTATTGTATTGAAACGGAGAATGGACCGGGTCGACGATAATGTATCCTGCGGTCGACTCATCAGCGAGAATTTGACCCCCCACGTTAGGCTGCGATATATAGTTTGAAACATAAACGCTGAAGCTCTGCGTTTGGAGCTGAGTGAAACTCGGCAGGCGTCCACCCGCAGGTTCACTGGACGTTTCATGTTCCATAACTTCAACTTCTTCCGGTGTCGCTTCACCAAAAGTAGCCGGACTGGCTATAGGCAGATTGTTGATAGCCATATCCATAACGTGGGGGGCCATCCCGTTTGGGTAACTCGGTGCTATAGTCTGCTGAAAATTCTGACCCAAATATAATGGGGTGTGCGTGGGGTCCGGAACCGAAGGCCCCAAAGGATCCGTAGACCTCGGGTTGTACGGGTTGACACCCAAATGACTGAACGGGGGCAGTGTGTGGGCTGTAAGAGCCGGTGTATTCTGGGTTAGAGGTGGAGTTGAAATATTGCTGGTTGAGACTGATAGCAGGCCCCTCATATGATGATTTTGAGTAACAGAGGGACCTGCTTCCCCGTTTGGGGGATTCCCAGTAGTGGATATTCCGATACCTTTATTGCCATGTTGACTACTATCGTTCGGATTCCCTATACCGGGCGGTTGACTACCTATATTGAGCGGATGCGATCCGACTTGATGCTGTAAAGGGTGATTAGCTAAAGGATTATTACTGAAATTATTATCTAAGTTACCCTGTTGAAGATGCGTATATGGTGACTTGGACTGCATGGTGGCCACGCGGTGAGAGCGGTCGAAGTTCTGCGCCGAGTATGGAGAGTGGAGTGATGAGTCGTCTACGCTACGGCCATCCTCTGGTGGAACTGGGCTCTGGGTGTTGGAGTCCACCGACTGCTGCTGCGCACGAGCCTGCAGTGAGTCGCGGCTCGGATGATGATGACTCGAGATAGGCATCGTGGCTGGATCTGGCTGCCCCGATGACCTCACCGCGTTCTTGTGTAACGTGGTGTTATAGTGCCTCTTTAGATGACCGGAACTAGTGAACCATTTATTACAAGCGGTGCAGTTGTAAGTTTTAGGTCTTCTTGCTTCATTTGATTTCCAATTAGCTCCTTTGCCTCCAATTGAAGGTAATGTCGACGAAGTCGGATTAGCGGGTTGGGTACTAGTTATTTGGGGTGCTGCTGGAGAATCATACGGTCGATATGGAGGCTTCATATCGGGATTAGCAGCAGACATTCCCGCAAAATCAGTCAAAGGAGGCATTTGTACTCCAGGATAAATTTTCTGTTCCACGTGCATAAATGGTTTTTGTTCGTGATGACCAGGGTGAAATTTTTCTTGGGCGTAAGCAAATTTTTGATCAGGATGAAACATTTTTGCTTCTGTCGGGTATGGAGGTTTTTGTTCAGCGAACATTTTCTGATCTTTGAAAAGCGATACTTCTCCGTTTACTTGAGGATTGCTATATAACTTTTGTGTTTCCCAGGGCATCATGGGCACAGTTCTCGTATTTACTTCCCGACCGGTTTGTGCAGTTTCTTCATAAGAAGTGTTAGGTTGCTCACCTTCGTTGCCCTGATAGACGACCTTTTGAGAATCAAGGTCTAAGATATCTGATGATTCCTCGTGTTCTTCCTTAATTTTTACATTATCATTAGGGTAACCTGAGTTATTGTACTGTTTCCCTTGGAACTGTTGAAACGGCAGCGGCGCGGATCCGGAAGCAGAGCTAGATCCTGCGTGGGCGGAGTTGCAGTGTTCATTGAGCTGCACAGCGGAATCGCAAACAAAGCCGCACTTGTCACATTGATTTGGCGATGGGGACGGCGTAGGCTGGTTCAGTGGTTGACCGTACAAGGGGCTCGATGAAGATACTTGCGAAACACGTTCTTGCATGTTATAGGGGTGGAAGCGTGTCGACTTGTGATATTCTTGACTATATTGTGACTGTTCCCAATTAATTTGTTCTGAATGTTGATTTTGTGTGAAGCCAGAATGAGAATAATTATTACCGAATTGTGCTCCTGGGGAAAAGTTGGTTTGATCCGGATTCTGGTACGGCGATGGAGCGCTGTGATAACTTTGGGGTGTAGCAGGGTGAGGGAACTGAGCTGAAGTCTCTGGCGTAGCCCGCTGCTGGAACTCGGGGCTAGGCTTAGTGATCATACTGTCGCTCGAGTCGGCCGGGGCCGACACTGTCGTTTCGTTCTTCACTTTCGCCCCGTTGTTATTTTCACTGTCATTTTGAATGTTTTGCGTACCCCATTTAACATACAAATTTTCTTTGTGATATTGTAAATGCACTTCCAACGAATCAACAGTGTCCAAGTACAGATCGCAAACCTTACAATGGTAGTCCCTCGATGGTAAGGTCGACGAAACAGCGTTGCTGTTAGCCATTTAAATCATCAATCTAAAGGAGAGCCCCGTCTCCTCCAACGAAAAAAAAATAATAAAAAAACAGCACTGTTCGTGTTGACGTACATGTAGTCAGCGCTTCGTTTCAGGCGCTACAGGTTGAAGTCATGTTGCAGCTGGCGCGTCTGCCTCGCGAGTTACTCTAGGACGATGTTTTCGGAGAAAGTTTTTCGCGGCATTTCCGCGGGCGGGCGGGCGGTGGCGCGGCCACGTGCGCGCAGTAAACACTCCGCGCTCCTCGCACCCACACGCTGCACTCCACCGGCTACACTCTATAGTTCACAACAGGCAGCACTACGAGTTAGTTCTAAAAGTTTCATCATTCGCAGTTCACAAAAAACTTATTGTCACAGAGCAAAGTCTTAAATTCCAAAGTCTTTACGAACTAAAATCACAGAGAGGTTTGCGGCGTGATAAATCAGCACTTATTTTTAATTTAAGCCCGGCGGCGCAGCGTAGTTTGTGTTGAGTTGGCAGGTACGGCGCGGTCACGACGCGGGTCAACCGAGTACGGACGCTGCGACCGTTTACAAGCAACTGACAGCCTTCCCGAAGTCGCCTTCGGGGGCATGACTTCAATAACAATTCGCAACGTCGTCCCCCACCGAGGCGTGCGTGCGAGTGAGAGCGGCGCGCGGTGATGAAGTTATCGCTCCTTCGTCCTTTTGAGCGTCCTCGGTGCGAGCGAGACGGGAGGCGAGGGGAGCGGGCGAGGCGAGGGGGACGGGGCTGGTCCTACTCTTTCTCAAAATTGAAATGCCCGGTCGAAATGTCCGGTGATGCTGCGTCCGAGTGGGACGGCGATAGCACCCACCCTTACGATGCGGGCGGACAGAGCCCTGCGACGAATTTCTATAAATTTTAAACCTCGTCTTATTTTACCGTTGCTGGACCATCCAAACTACCTTGCTATGGACACAGCCAAAAATTATTTTATTGATGTTTATCACAGCTGTATAATTTTAAACACAGATTTAGTAAAACACCATCTTTATTTAAAATATATCCTAATAACACAGTTTATTTTATAAATTATGCTATATTTTTTTTTCATTTACTTCATGCTTAAATTATTTATAACTAAAACTCATTGCTTGTATAATATTCGTAACAAAACTCTCGTAGCTATATACAGTATAAGAAATGGAATTTTAAGCAGATGCTTCATACAACTTCTTATCTAAATATATTCAACCCAATTCTATTCTAAGAAACGTTTTACGTCACACTACATTTACAGACTTTATCATATAATACAACAATCTTTACAAATCAAAAATTAGATAACCTTTTCATAAGATAATGTCCAATAATAATGAGTAAGTAAAAACTAGTTTTCTAGCTCGATAGACGAAACGTATAGGAGCGGCTATCTACCAACCAAAATGTTCACGTGTTTTGCTGAATTTGATTTCGATGGAAGTCTGCTTCCTAAACATGTATTAAGGGGATGGTCTAATGGTGCGCAGGGCACGAAATTTTGCATCGGCCGGCCAGCGAGGAGGGAGGGGGGGGGAGGTGTTCATTTTTTTCTAAACGCACTCCTCATCGGCCAGCTACGACATCCGCTCCAAAATCGTTCGTTCTAAATTCAAAATTATCGAAACCTAAGTCTCAGTTCGAAATAGGCTGAGAAACTTATTCCAAGGAGGTTGTAATTTTTCGCGCCGAATTCTTGCATAGCTGGACTGCGGCCATGCAAACTATGAGGGGAGCCAACATCGATTTTCTCGGACCGCTCCGATCGCTTCCTATTGCTTCCACACCTCCCTTACGATTTTACACTGGACCTCCCGCTCTCCTGTTTACGTTTAGCATTTCAACTATTCCGTTTTGATCGCTCGTTTCCCGGAGCTGGCTGTATTATTGATTGCATCTTTAAATAATTCATACATTTATATTTTATCAATTCATACGAATTTATAGATAGTAATATAAAGTTGAAGAAACTGAAGGAGTAGATATTTTCATTATTTTATATTAGCTTAAAAATGTACTGGTAAATACTGGATATTATTCAGTAGGGTGTCAAGTAAGACTTTCAATCAATAAGATTCTCAAGAATTGTAAAACATATAAAATTTTATATGACTTCATCTCCGCTACGTTTGTGCACTTGTAAAAGAAAAAAGATACCACCTTAAATAACAAAGATAAATATGAAATTAACTCATAATAATGAAGATAGAAGAGAAGAATGAAGAAAGTATGGATATCATCCAAGGCCGTTAAACTATTAAAAAAAAAACAATCAATAAGAGCGCAATTTATCATAGATAGTAAAATTTGACTATAGTTTAATACTTTATAAATAAAGTAACAATTGTCGAAATTTGACACATTGACTATGTATTTGACGTGGCATTTACTATAGTCAAATTTAACTATAGATTAAACAGTCAGCAATATACGTAGCACGCCATAGTAATTATTAAAATACTGTAAAATAATTGCAAATGGTAATAATAACTTTCGAAAAATCTTTAAATATTAAAACCGTCCAAGTGCCTGTCGAATTTAACACATTTAGGGTTCCATAACAAATCTAATTAATCAATTCATTGGTAAAATATCATAACTTTAAATACAAGGTCCCTGGAAGTTCATAGGTCGTTAAATAACTTTGGTGGGTCCTTATTCCTTTGTTTTTATTGTTTTGAAAGAATTCAGTCAGTTTGTTAGTAGAAAATCTTCTCAAATAGTTCTAAGCAACAATATTATTAATTAGCTTTATAGGATAATTCGTATCGCTTTAGTTCGATAAAATGTGTCATATTGTGAAAATTTTGTGTGAAGTTTGGCTGTAAAACCTCAATAAAAGAAGACAAACAAACAGACGGACACGTGAGTGAGAGGTATGTGGCTTAGCTTGGTCCCTTCTGGTACGGAATCCCAACAAATAGTTATCATATTAAAACTGAATACGGTCCTTTAGGGAAACATTAGATTAAGCAAAATTTAGGAAAATAATTATCATGTAAATGAATAATATGCCGTCATAGTGCGACTTCTCCTGTAAACAATAAGCAATTTTCAATACAACATCTCATCCCTTATTGTGAACCTTGCAAGATGTATTATAACTAGGACCCTAAAAAATAGTATAAATGTATAATTTATCGAGGTCCTCTTTACCACAATACCAAAACTCGTTGAGCCCTTTAATCGTGAATACTTAACACACAGAAATACCACGTTTTTTTAATAAATTAACAATTATTTCAAGACATTTTGTTAACTGTGCGCATCTTGAATTGAAGACATTACTTTTATTTCAAAAAAGAAACATTACAGTCTAAAATTCAAAATCCTGGTCCGCCATAGTAAATTAAGGAAAAAAATTTGCTAACCCTGACCTAGACCATAAATACTTACCAGTTTTAATAGTATCTGATTACTTTAAAATATCAAATATTTATTATCTGTATGTAAAAATCGAAGTAATATAATTCGCAAAAGACTTTAAAAATAATACTTTCTTAACAACTTTTATTATTACAAAACCATAATTCAGTCAATATAAAATTCGCGAGTACGAACGAATTCCTAACGCAAATGGATAAGTTTATTCATAAAATTAATGTAATAAACTTAGAAAGTTCATGAAAGAAAACAAACCAACTACAAAGAATTGGCGACATCTCTCAAGACAGGACGGAAATTACATAACTACGCAAAAATCAATGAAATTCACTAACCACAGAAAGCAATTACATTACAAATCTAAAAAATGGTAAAGATTTTAGTAATATTTCGGATGTACATTAATTATACTTAAAATCATTTTGATGGTTTTCATTTAAGTGTTTTTTTTTTCGAGCTGATTGGTCGATCTCATTACCTCCTTAAAAGAAGGGAAAGGTTTTCAATCCATCAAGTATTTTCGTTTCTGATCAGAAGGTGTCTATAAGCGAACATAGACACCTTCTAACCCGAGGTGGTTTATCCGCAGAATTTTATTTTTGTATATAATTACAGATTTTAACATGAATAATATATATAATTCTATTTCTATTATTCATAGTGTGCTTGCTTTCATCCAGCTTAATTCGGACCTACAAAATAAAATGTACGTTGAACTTAAAATAATTAAATAGGAGAGAGTGTGATCTATGTCTTAATCTGTAGTTATAGATATGGTAGTTAAAGATGACAAATGCAAAAATACTGAGAAATTTCAATGGCAATATAATTGTTAAAAAATATTATCCTAAGCATCATTGTTATTAGACAGGCAGACAGACAAGGTTATGTTCGCGAACAAAGAAATATATAAAAGTACATATAAAATAGTATTGTAAATAATTAACTGTTATGGTGATTAAAGTTCGAAGACGCGGTTCTTACAAACACAGAAAAGATAATATAACGTGTAAACATACAGTGCAGCAACAACACAGACCCAAACTATGCTATGCTCTATGGCTATTAATAGGGCCACTATGGACCACTCCAGATTTCTTTAATATACACATATACATAGACAACAGATTTTGAAGTTAACATAATATCCGCGGCGTCCAGATAAGAGCCTTGTTTTATGAACGCTGACCTGATAGTACTGTGAACTACAGGATAACGCTCCGTATTTAAAGTTAAGTTATACTTTTGCAGTGGTCGGTCATTGGATGGGTGACCAAAAATTTATTATCTGTAACTCCTCCGTGCTTGGGAAGGCACGTTAAACCGTTGCTCTCGGCTACATTTTAGTCGTCAGCATCCACCAATCCGAATTGGACTCGCATGGTGGGGCGTCATGGCCCAAACTTCCTATTAGATTCATAGGGAAGGCATGCGCTCCTGCAGTGGGGACATTAATAGGCTGGTGATCATCATCATCAACGGCACAACAACAATCGATTACTTATCGTCTCAAAAGAGGAATGTCATCGAAATTTTCGGTCATAACATAAAATCGAAGCGCCTGTGTGAGAAAAACACCTGCAACTTTTAGAATACTTACAGTAAATCTACAACATATTGGTGATAATATATTTTATTTCTGTTGGCGAGTAAGGTTCCAAGGCTCCGTGGGGTAGAGGATTGAATTCAAGCATGTAAGAAAAGTAAAAATAATTAACACCCAATGGATACCAAATAAAGCATCGTTTAATTAAGCTTAATAAAAAATTTATTGTAAAAAAGCTTGTCATCCAAAAATTACCTAAAAAGTGAAAAAATTAAATGTTTTACTTGATACTTCGTAATAGTAGGACACACTCATTGCCAAGTTGGAGGACCGCTAAAGAAGTTTTTTTTTTATTATTGTTGCTAAATAAAAGAAGTCGAAAAACTTTTTTGTTTGGTGTCATGGCTATCTTGACTTGACAATGTTTGGGTCTAAACTATTCGACGAAAGATTTCAGTTGGGACCCCTGGATCGAGTGGATTTTTTCTATTCATATGTTCTTTAGATTTAAATAAGGAAGTTAAAGACAAACAGTATTTAGAAATACAGTCCGCCTATACCTTCGTAATATCTTAGTTACAGCGTTTTTTTTTTTTCAAAATATATTTGAAAGTCTAACTTTTTCTAACTTCTCGTCTTTGTCTATTGACACTATAAACTCCTTACCAAGCTCAGTATACCAGGGTAAATTCGTAGGTACGCAATCTGTAAATCTGAGTCTATACAAAACCGAAATAGTAGATTATTATTTATGTAAAGTTGCTTTTCGGCGCGAGAACGAGAGTGTATTGAAACTGAAGCAAGCGAAGGCGAGTGGGTGCGACTGGCTCAAATATACGTAGAATCCTGAGCCTAGCTAACACAGACATAGATTGGGTAGCCCGTAGGGGTTACAAAAGTACGAGACGCAAAATAAC